AGACACATCCAGTAGCCGTCTAGCATCCGTATTTACGAGGGCATGCCGACTACCCTACGCCATCGGTCTACATGTATGAACATGTTCACATGTTTGAATTCGCGCCCAATAAAGCTTCCCCTAAGGGTAGTGTTGTCCAAACGGTTAACCGGTCAAAGAATGGTTTGACCGTTAACCGATCGGTCAAAAAAATTCTTGACTTTAACCTTAACCGGTTAACCGGTTAACCGTTTTTTACCGGCTGACGTCATTATGCCCTATAACTATTGTAAAATACCCTTATTTTTAGGGTATTTTGCAAATATTTTAGGGTATTTTCTTATATTTAGGGTTATTTTGCAAAAAGGGCGTAACTCTATTAATGAATAATGACTGATTTAATAAAATTATTAGTTATTATACAGTTATTATTACCAATTATTTCTGTGACATCAATTACGTAGCGGTTAATCGGTTAACCGGTTAACCGTCGGTCAAAAAATGCTTTGACTTTTAACCGATCGGTCAAAAAAATCTTTGACTTTAACCCGGTTAAAATTTTTTAGCCGGTTAACTTTGGACAACACTACCTAAGGGACGCGAACTCACAGTGATGTGAAGCGACAAACTTCAAACACTACTTTTTTTTAAGGCAGTGCTTTTAGTCAATTACGCCAGACCTCAGACCCATATTTAAATATTTAACAACATTTACCATATTTAATTTATTGAATTATTTAGAACTTATTATTAAAATTATTAAAATTAATTTACATAACTGTTACAAATATACCTTATTAAAAGAATAGTCGATGTCTTGTCGCAGATGCGGTCAATTACTCTTAACCTATAGGAGACAATCAAAGTGTCACAAACACTAGTTCTTCTTCATATTCTAGCCATTGTTTGATTAAATATTATGTCTATTTATAATAAATTTCAATACAAATTTTAATACAATTCACATAATATTAGCTAAACGTTGTGTTTGTGAACGACATTCATGTGATTTCTGAGACCGGGTTTACCGCTAAAACTCTTATCACATCCACTGTATTGACAACTATAGGGTCGGATCCCCTGGTGTTCGTTCACATGTGTCTTAAGGGTCTGATTACTGGCAAACCGTTGTCCACACTCTGGCCAATCACAGGCGTACGGCTTGTCTTTCAAATGAGACATTTTATGCCTCCAAAGTCCGTTTCTGGTCACAAAACTCTTATCACATGCGATGTGCGGGCACTGGAACTGTCGAATACCCTCATGAGTGAGGCGGTGACGTCTTAATGGTTCCATCAGTTTGAAGGCGGCCTCACATCCGGGCCAATCGCATGTGAAGGGCCGCACATCTGAGTGAACCAATGCGTGGCGCTGCAGATGACGGGCAGTGATAAAAGTCTTGCCACAGTCGGCGTATTCGCACCGAAAGTCCCGTATGTTTTGGTGTCGTAATCGGTGTTCAGCGATGTTTCCGCTGTTGTAGGACTCGTAGTCACAGCCCGGATGGTCGCACCTAAACATCGCGCCCACGGAGTGCGACCTCATGTGTGCGGTGAGCGCCTGTTTGCCGACAAACTCCTGGTCACACAGTTTGCACTGACAGGTGATGTGCATAGACCTCATGTGACCCTCCATTGCAAACCGCGACGAAAACTCTTTGTCACAGCCGACGACCTCACACACCGCCGGCCGATCGTATCGGTCGTGTTGTGCCCGATGTTTGGCCATCAGTGGCTTGGATTTGGTCTTAAACCAACACTCGTCTTCCTTACAGTGGAACAGTTCGGGCTGTGGTGTGTGATGACGGATCAGAT